CTGATGGAATGACTCCAGAGGTATTTAAGTACGGTGGAGACAGCTTACTGTCCGGATTAACTGAGGTACTAGGCAGCGTCTGGGAATCAGAAGAAGTCCCATCGGGTTGGTGTAAGTCACTGATTATCCCCATATACAAGAAGGGAGACAAGTCTTCCTGTGATAATCACAGAGGGATTAGCTTGACTAATATAGTATCTAAAGTCTTAGGCTCAATAATCATGCGTAGACTGAGTGGTGCTCGGGAAGCACAAACACGAGAGAGCCAGGCAGGCTTTAGACCAGGAAGAGGGTGTATTGATCATATCTTCACCCTCCGACAGATTCTAGAACATAGGCATTCCTACCGGCGTCCAACAGTCATTATATTTCTTGACCTAAAGGCAGCATTCGACTCTGTCGATCGGGAAGTTCTCTGGAGATGCTTGGCTGTAAAGGGAATTCCAAGAAAATATATTGCACTGATTAAGGCACTCTATTCGTACTCATACAGCCAGGTGAGGGCTTACGGCGAGCTGTCATCTGAACTGATGACGACCAGTGGTGTCCGTCAAGGATGCCCATTATCTCCTTTTCTATTCAACTTCATCATAGATGTGTTAATGGACTTAACCCTAGGTGACTTCAGCGACTCAGGGATTGACTTGCTACCTGGGAATAATCTCGTTGACTTGGAATATGCAGACGATATAGTCCTTCTAGGCGAAGACGCTGACGAAATGCAGAGTCTTCTAAACACCTTGAGCAGCAATCTACGAATGTTTGGCATGCGATTCGCTCCCGCCAAATGCAAGATGATGTTACAGGACTGGACTACATCGACGCCTAGTTTAAAAATAGGAAGTGAAGTGGTAGAGCACGTTGACCGCTTCACTTATTTGGGAAGTACCATCAGCCCCAACGGGCTGATCTCTGACGAAATCTCAGCACGAATACAAGGGGCTCGTTTCGCATTTGTTAGTTTACGCCGACTCTGGCGTAGACGAGATGTTCGACTATCGACCAAAGGGCGGGTGTACTGCTCATCAGTCCGCTCCGTCCTCCTTTATGGTTGTGAGACCTGGCCACTGAGAGTGGAAGACATGAAAAGACTAGCTGTCTTTGATCATAGGTGCCTGCGTTCTATTTCCCGTGTAAAGTGGCATAATAAGGTGAGCAACATGGAGGTTAGGCGTAGAGTTCTAGGTAAACAGGGGAAATCAATCGACGAAGTCGTGAAGCTACAAAGACTGAGATGGTTAGGACATGTGTTACGTATGCCAAGCCATCGCCTCCCTCGACGAGCAATGTTAGCGGATATAGGGTCAGGCTGGAAAAAAGCTAGCGGCGGTCAAACAAAAACTTGGCATCAGTCAATGAAATCCACAACAGTTGGTCTAAGCCACGTAGGAAGGTGTAGACTTCCAGGCTGGGGTCCTCGGGACGGTAAAAATCTATGGTTGGAAACAATTGGTGACATGGCTCAAAATCGTTCTCAGTGGCGCAGATGCATCCACTCCCTGTGACTTATGATCTTCAATGAAACTGTTTTGTATTTCTTTATTACTCCTTTGTCTCACACCTCTGCTCACTGTTTCTATTATGCTTTTCTTGTACTTTCTTCTCTTGCTTCGCGTGCTACACGGAATGTGGCGACTTGAACTTCCGCACATTTGTGCAAAGTTCTATGTCGAAAACAGACAGACAGACAGACTTAATATATGCCTCCACCTGTTTCATTTAGCATATTCGTTATCTCACTATGAACCTCAATTGCAGTCTTACTACCTCCTGTTTGACACAGACCACTTTGTACTAGCCACTCACCTGACACCTTTTATAACCTTGAACTGACTTGTCAATTTTCCTACCCCACACTCTACAAATCTATTATCATTAATCACCACTATTGTCTCCCGTTTTACAATATTTTGTAATCGATTTCAGCCTAGCACGTTTGTCACACAAATAAGACTATTTATTTTGACACCCCGTAACAAATAATCTGTTACTCTACATTAAAAATGTATCCACGGCATAACAGGCCTCTATTGTTACGACCACAAATATTATATTTCATAATTGTAAGAACCTGAATTGAAATTATTGAAAGGAATATTTTTCGTTCAGATTGACTTTCATATTATAGTTGTCTAGCTTTCCGACCATGCCGGACGACTAACAGGTGGGATGATTAACTGCGGTGTCAGGAGAAGTACAGTCCAAATACACTGAATACTGAATATTACACATAATCAATCTCCTATACGACTGCACTCGGAGTCAACCAAAGCCACCACAGGGAAATGGTGGGACAAAATAAGCAAAAACTTACCGACGACTAGGAACCTTCACCTCGTAAACAAGTCAACACAAACTAACTAATTTACCTTACACTAGCTTGTAAGAAGGATAATATTGGAAATATCGGACATTATTATTTATATTATTATTATATCCTTTAATTCCTAGAGGAACATAGGGCTTCAGCTGCGCATCTCCATTGCCTTCTCTTTTCTGCCAACTTTTTCACCCAGCTCCAAGTCTGCCCACATGCTTTCATCTCCTCTTCACATGACCTCCTCCAAGTCACCCTCACACTGATGACCAACTCACCGCTTCCCTGTCGGGTTCCACTCGAGCAATGGCTTGTCTAGTGATGTCACTGGATGCTTTCCTCAGTGTATGGCCAATCCATCTCCATTTCTTCCTGCCTATTTGTTTTGCAGTCGGTTCCTAGCTGGTTCGCTCCCAGAGATCTTTGTTGCTGATCTTTTCTAGCCACCTGATCTTGATTATTGAGCGAAGACAACTGTTAATGAAGGTCTGAAGTTTGTTTGAGATGCTCTTTATGCCGCGCGAAGTCTTTGATCCGTATAGTAGCACTGACTGACTTCACATTGGAGTTGAAAATCCGGATGTTATTTTTCATGCTGAGTGATGTTGACCTCCACACAGACTTGAGAGTAATGAAAGCTTGTCTTGCTTTCCCGATCCTTGCTTTGATATCCTAGTCGGTTCCGCCTGTAGTTGAAACGATGCTTCCCAGGTAGGTAAAGGAGGTTGTTTCCTTCAGGTTTCTTCCATTTATGCTGACTGTTGTTGCCGTTGGTGTTGGCCAAGAATCTTTATCACCTCTGTTTTATCTAGGTTCACTTGAAGTCCTATCTTCGCTGGATGCTTCTTCTGCCAACTTGTTGCTTTTCACTTGCATGTCTTCCAGTTTATGGGAAATCAGACATATATCATCGGCGAAGTCCAGATCCTCCAAGTTTTTTGGGGGAGTCCATTTTATGCCTGTCTCCTCATTGCTCGCTGTCTATCTGTCTGTCGCATTTTCTAGTCTATCATAATCAGAAAATCATTGGAGATATTAGGAAGCCAGCTTTTCTTACTTCCGTCTTCACTTCGAAGGATTCCGTAAGTTTACCGTTGTGGATTATTTGGCATGCAGCATTGTCGTACAACTGTTGGATACGATGTATAATTGTCGATGGGACCCCATAGTATCGAAGTGGTTGCCAAATCACCTCTCGATCGACGTTGTCGAAGGCCTTTTCAAAGTCGATGAAGTTGAGATAGACAGGTGACTGCCATTCCAAGCTTTGTTCAATGATGATCCGTAGAGTGGCGATTTGATCAATACATGACTTGTTTCTCCTGAATCCAACTTGTTCCAGTCGAAGTTTTCCATCCAGAATGGCGTGTTGATTCTCTCCAGAATGATGCGGCTTAGCATTTTGCTTGGGATGGGTAGGAGCATAATTCCGCGCCAGTTTCTGCATTGACTTAAGTCTCCTTTCTTGGGTAGTTTGAATAAGTATCCTTTCTTCCAATCCTCAGGCACCTTGCCCTCTTTCCACACCTTCTCCAGTAGTGGTGTCATCAAGTCCGCTGTTGTCTCTGCTGGAATTCTATCTGGTTCTGCTGCTTTTCCAGCTTTTAGCATCTTGATTGCATTCAGGACTTCTGATTTTGTCGGGGAGTCGATGTTCACTGGTAGTTCTGCTTCCGTTGTTGGTATTGTTGGGCGCGTTGTAGGTGGCGGTCGATTTAGAAGTCTTTTGAAGTGTTCAGTACAGTGTTTTCTTTGCTCCACATCTTTGGTGAATGACTTTCCATTGTCATCCCTTACTGGCTTAATCTGTGTCGAACTTTTGCCCGATAGGTGCCTAGTTGTTCGGTAGAGTGTGGAGAGGTCTCCTTTGCCTGAAGCTTGTTCTGCTTCACTTCCCATGGTTTCATAATATTTTCTTTCGTCTTCCCTCGCACTCTTCTTCACTCTTTTGTTCAGCGTATTGTGGCTTGCATTCAACTCTTGTTTTTGTTGCTCGTCGGTGCACTGGATAATCTTTTATTTCACTATCCTTCTCTCTTCTATTAGTTTCCAAGTGTCCGTAGTGAGCCACTGTTTGTCCCGTCTCTTCTTTCTGCCTAGAACTTCCATGCAGGTTTGATTCCACACCGTTTCCAAGTTGTCCCAGTGCTTTTCGACGCCGACCTTTTCGCTAGTGTTGATTTGTGTTTCGGCTTTGTCCCTTTTGCTTGCAATGAAGATGTCTTTTGTATTTCGATCCTTCAGTTTTTGAGTGTTGAACTTGGCTTGTGGTCTGTCTGCAGCTCCTGTTTCCCTGAAAGCTTTAAATTTGATTTGGATTGTCCCTTGTACGAGATAATGGTCTGAGCCAACGTCTGCCCCTCTTCTTAATTTTGTGTCCAGCAAGCTGCGCCTCCATTTCCTTGAGATTGAGATGAAGTCAATTTGGTTTTTGGTTTGCCCATCTGGTGACACCCATATAGCCTTCTGGATATCTTTGTGTTTGTATGCGCTGCCACCAATCACTCTCATTATATATATATATATATATATATATATATATATATATATATATATATATATAGGTTATAATGCTATTTAGGTTATAATTTAAACTGCCTGTAAACAATAATAACTATCAAAAAATCTTTCCGAGTTGCTTACTTAACTAACTATTGGTTATTTTTCTTTATTTCTTCTGCAGATTTTATTTGCAGTAGGCTTTGTATTCTATGGCATAGATGCATTCATTCTATTTTCGTACTATCGACAAAATGGGGGTTATGTAAATGATCCTAAAACAAAGCAGCGACCCAATGTGATGCCTAAAACTAATCAGACAATACCAACGATAATGATTTCAGCAGCAGACACGACTTCCACAGAACTTACACCGACAACAACTACGACGACAATGTCAATGAATGCGACGGCAACGCCAAATCCAACCTCTGCATATTCTAATAATGCTTTTGAAAAAGAATAATTGGAAAACTCAAAAGAACCAATAATTTACTATTCCTTGGAAGTAAGTTGTTTTAATTCGGGTATATATAAGATGTTTAGTAATCTATAGTAACTAGAAGAAAGACACTTCGTTGAATTTATATACGGAAATGAACTGATTTCAATTCAGAAACATTAAATGTGACAAGTTGCTAAAACACTCGTAATTATATTTATTTCAATTAGTGAAAATCCACTTACACAGACAGACAAAGTTTCAAACACACAGCAATTGAGGGCAATAATGTTGCTACTAGCAGGAGAAGTCACCTATAAGCAAACGATAGTTAGTTGTCAGTTGACATCAATTAAACAATTACCGATAGCCAAATTGCATTAAGCAGCCGTTTCATCATCCTAATCTAGAACACTACGCCAATGCACTCACGATTTGTCCGAAACCTAGACGGAAGCCATTGGGCCAGTGAATGAAACGATCTCATTTCATCCTACTCATTTTGTTTTTCTTGCTTTGTTCAGATTTTCCAAGGGAAATAATTGTATAATAAATCTGTTCACCTTTTTTTGCTCTTTTCAGTAATTTGTCTTTCAATTCATCTACCCACGGTTTATTATGGCAGTATGGGAACCCTGTTTGTTTTTTATACATGGACTTTCCTTCCTCTCTAACTCTAATTCAGCATCATAGAAGAACATATTTTCTTACTATTTCTAGCATCTTAACTAATTTAACATCTACTGAAGCATACTGACAGTTCACTTATTTTTTACTGATATGCTATGAAATTATATCAATTTTTATTGTGATATGCATTTTGTTTTTTCTAATCATGTCAAAAATCCTGCTTAATTCACCAGATACCATTTGTATGGGGTTTAATTTTTATAATAATAATGAAACACTATAACTAATCATTGTTACCATTCCAAATGTTCACGCAGTATTAACAACAGTGGTAAACAACTTCATACTGAAGATGTTGTCTAGTAGGACAATGAAACCTTTGCTATTAAATAACTCATCTCAGGGAATGCAACCACATCACAAAAAGAAATAATATTAACTAACATAAAATCAGGTGAGAAAAGAACCAGTAGTGGTCATACCAAAACTTGGAATTAGTCCATGAAATCTTTGATAGTAGGTTTGAGCTACATAGACTGTCTAGTTGTGGTGCTCGGAATGCTAAGAATCAATGACTTGAGACTGATGTCTCAAAATCGGTCTCAGTGAAGAGAGCGGATTCATTCACTCTTTCTAATCTCACAAATACACTGAATCCTTGTGTCCCCATGTTACTATTTTTCTCTCGTACTTTTCTGCTTATTATAATTCTTTTAAATCTTTCGTTTCTCCACCTTTGTGTGCTACATGGGATGTGGCAATTTAAACCTCTAAACTTCTGCGCGAAGCTCTATGTTGGAACTCAGTTAGTGTTAGAGTGAATCTGTATACTTTTACGTGTATTACTATGAACCGCATCTATGTATATTTCATTGTATCAATTGAGTAGATGAGAGGGGGGACTGAGAAGCAAAACAAAGTTTACTGTCTAAGTAGACAATGACCAATATTTATCAGTTTATAATAGGGCAATCGTCATCAGTTTCATTAAGAAGCAAACCTCCTCATACTCAACTATCGTTGACCATTTCGGCTATAGTTTCTCATTAGAATCCCAAAAGTAATCCTGATGTATACAATAATGAGTTTTCGTCAATTGCATGTTTGATTAGTCAAATAATTCAATGCTAAAATCAGGTTCATATTTAACAGCTTGTAGACGTTTTATCAATGTCAACTTATTGAGGCTAACTATCCTTTCGTTTTCTAATCACAGACAGTTCAAAATAGAGTACATCCTTTCGTTTTCATTCCTTTGCGTTCCAATTGAAAGTCTCAGTAGAGATGGTATTATTATTTGCGGAGTGGGATCCCTATCCTCAGACCCAAGCTACTCTCCTAGATCGAACTTACTATCAGTTAGTACACTAAGCGAGTGCAAAAAAAACAGAATAATACGATAGGTTATCAAACGTAATTTTAATCCGGATAACGTTTTTTTTCTGGCTACACATTGATTTCCATTTGTTTGGGCTTCAAAAACGCTTTGCAATCTAACTTCCCGGGTTAATATGTCCAGATGCATATAATTGAATGCAGCCCTCCACCACCACAGTACTAAATGTAAGGGGTAATGTGTGTCGAGGGATTAAAACGAAAGCAGATATTGAATTTATTAAAACTAAAGTTTTCATACAACTTGGTGAGACAATCCAGTTCTTTTTTCTAGTTTCTACTAAAGCTAACATTCAAAAACAATCTCTGGCTCATTGACTTCTAACAGATTTATTACCAAAAATTTCTTCTAAAAAATCAAACAATTACCAAATAATTTTTACATCAAAAGGTAAACAAGTAATTTGTGAGCATCCACTTTTAATAACAATATTAATGTCATCTTGTTTGAGCAAGTACTTCATTGTAACGTTTCATTGAGTCTCATAAATCTAAAAATCAAGGCGAGAAAAGTTGCATTATCTTCAGTAAAAGCAAAAACACCACGCATTACATGACACTATTATAAACACAAACACATAAGCATCAATGATTTTGTACTAAGCATTTAATACGACAAATTACATGGGCTATGTAATGTACTTCTTAGATAACACAATGTCCTAACTGGTTTCAACATAGAACTTTGTATGGATGTGTACCAGTTAGAGTCGCCACACTTCAATTAGCACACAAAGAGAATTAAGTAAGAAGAAATGCAAAATAGAGACAGTAAACACAGATATGAGGCAAAAAGAATAGTAATATCGAAGAACAATATGCTTCTATCGGATATTATAAGTTACAGAGTGAATGGATCTGCACCAGCCACGACGACTTTTAGCCATATCACCGATTGTTCCCAGTCTTCATTGGTTTATACTGTCCCGAAGACCCTACCCAGACAGAAGTCTACACCTCCCTCTGTGGCTGGCTCAAACTAACTGTTGTGGATTTCATTGACTGATGAAGCCATGCTTTGGTTTGACCCACCACTAGCTCTTTTCCAACCTGATCCATCCTATGCCAGTCAGCCAACATTTCTCGTCGGTCGAGGAAGGCGATGGTTACGGATACATTCGTAACACATATGCTAACCACCTCATTCGGTGTAGCTTCACAATATTTTGGATTGATTCCCCCTCCTCACCTGGCACTCGACCGAAGCCTAACCTCAATATTGCTCACTGTGTTATACCACCATCTAACACGGGAGATCGGACGCAGATCGAACACCTATGTTCAAAGACAGCCAGCCTTTTCTTATCTTCCATTGGAAATCAACAGCCATGTTTCACAGTCACAAAGGAGGAAGGAACGAAATGGTGAGCAGTGCGCATGGCCTTTGGTCGACAGCCAGCCGGATATCGCGTCTACTAAGCCAGAGATGGCGTAAGTTGGCGTATTCCAAACGAGCCTCCTGTATCCGTGCTGAGACTTCATCAGCGATCAACTCGCTGGCGTTGGCTGATGCAACTTCTCAAATAAGTGAGGTTGTCAACACGCTCCACTAATCACTTCACTCTACTTTTAACCTGGGGGTCAATATAGTCTAGTCCATTCCTGCAGAATTATCTTACATTTGACAGGAGTGAATCGCATGCCAAACATTCGAAGATCGCAGCTCAAGGTGTTCAGAAGACTCTGCATTTTGTCAGTGTCTTCATCTAAAAAGACTGTATCATTCTCATATTCTAAACCAACGAGATTATTCCCTGGTTACAAGTCAGTCCGTGAGTCGCTGATGTCAGTAGTTAGGGTTAATACCATTAGTACATCTATGATGAAATGTAAGAGAAATGGATATGGTGGGCATCCCTGATGGACACCACTAACCGTCACCACTTCAGACGACAACTCTCCGTAGGCTATCACCTGGCTGCATTAGTTCAAGTAGAGTGCCTTAATCAGTGCGATGTATTTTCTTGGTATTCACTTGACAGCCGAACATTGCCATAGTACCTCTCGATCGACGGAATCGATTTCCGCTCTCAGATCAAGTAATATGACGATTTTTGGTCGCCCGTAAGTATGCCCATGTTCCAGAATCTGTCGAAGGGTGGAGGTATGATCAATACACTCTCCTCCTGGTCCCTTTGTGTTTGTTCCTCCCAAACACCACTTAGTCTACGGATTGTTATTCAGCCTAGAACTTTAGATACCATATTGGTCAAGCTAATCCCCCTGTGATTATCACAGGAAGACTTGTCTCCCTTCTTTTATATTAGGATAATTAATGAATAATACCAGCCCCATGGGACTACCTCTGATTCCTAGACGCTGCCAAATGCCTTAATTAACGCCGACAGTAAGCTGTCTCCACTGTACTTAAACACCTCTGGAGTCATTCCATCACGGCCCGCTGCTTTGCCTCATTTCAGAAGAGTGACAACTTTTGTAACCTTAGCTAGGGACGGAGGACTTGTACCTATATCCCACTCAGGGAGGTGTTGGATGCTGGGTAAGTTGAGCATGACTGTAGGCCAATTAAATTGCTCCTTAAGGTGTTCTTTGCAACGTTCCAGTTGTCTATCCTGAGAGCTGACTACGGTACAAATTTTCTCATAGATTGTTTCACTTATCATTTGCCTTTTACTACCTGTTTACCTGATATACCTAAATAGTTGTCTGGTGTTACCAATCGCCGATGCCTTTTCCATCCCTTTCGCTTTTGTCGTCCACCACTATTCATGGTCTTTTCAAAAGCTTCTTGTTAGTTTGTGTTTGAGCACCTTTCGCTAAGCAAAGAAAAAATTTCCCATAGAAATACAGAAGCCTACAAATGGGATGATTTATTTCAACAGAATTAGGAATATGACTAAGGAGGAGAAAGCAAAATACAGTTAAAGAAAAGCAGTCAGAAAAGCATAAATTCAGAAAATGAAAACTGTAGGCATCTGTATGACCCAGAACTATCATAAATACTTAAATATCTAGAGTATCTAACGTGAACGTCAAACGTAGTGAATGTATAATGAGTGTTGTTGACGTTTAAACCCAAATATTCATATAACCAGCTGTAATAACTTAGTTTTTTTCTTAAATCTAATGCAATAAACTATTATATAGGTAAAAAATAATTACACAGGGGATTTCATCACGAGTTGACATCAGTTAGAGAACCACAAGAAAACCTGGGAGTTTGGGACTCTTCAGAAGTACGCACCCATCAGATTTCGAACCCAGGACCTTCTGGTTACAAGGCGGGCTCGTTGACCATTGAGCCATTGGGACCCGACCCAATAGTCCTTGAATTCTAACTTCTGACAATTCACGACATAGTGCGACCATTTCTCAATGTCTTCTTCGATGATTTATTGTCTCATCTTCAACCTGCTGTACCCTACTGGTCACTGGTTCTCTAACTGATGTCAGCTCGTGATGAAATCATCCATGCAGTCAAACAAAATCCCTACAAAACCAATTCTTGAAAATTAATCTGATGCTCACTAATGAATGGCCCTATTCAGGCAGTTAACCTGGGGTTCTAGCGGGAAGCCGTGACCAGTAGGGAACAGCAGGTTGAAGATGAGACAATAAATCATCGAAGAAGACATTGAGAAATGGTCACACTATGTCGTGAATTGTCAGAAGTTAGAATTCAAGGACCATTGGATCGGGTCCCAATGGCTCAATGGTCAACGAGCCCGCCTTGTAACCAGAAGGTCCTGGGTTCGAACCCCGATGGGTGCGTACTTCTGAAGAGTCTCAAACCATGACGAAACAGCTGTCCAGTACTACCAGGTTTTCTTGTGGTTCTCTAACTGATGTCAGCTCGTGATGAAATCCTCTATGCAATCAAACAAAATTCCCACAAAAGCAATACTTGAAAAAATAAATAATCTATGAGAAGATACACCTACCTTCAATTAAGTGCTATTTTCATGGTTACAGGCTCTGATTGGTTATCAATTCAGGGAAAAATTTCTGACCTTTCTTTTTAAAACATATATTCTTCAGAGATTTTGATGAAGTACTCTCATTCCTTCCAACAATATGCTGTTCATACTTCAGGCATATATATACGGCATGAGTCTGAGTTGCACAAACAAGGTGTCCTGGACAGCCGCATTTTGTCTCCTGGTACAGACTGTGCATAATCATATGATAGCTGTGTGCCTGATAAAACGGTCTTGTTTGCAAACAAAGCCAAATAAGGAATAAAACTGTCAACTCGAACAGGAATCACGGTTAAGTTTGGTGTGCAGGAATGGTTAATAAAGCGTGCTTTTGACTTTACAGAACCCCATAATTCTTGATTACCATCAATGCACGTTTCTGACACAAGACGATTTTCACTATATTCACGCAGTATCAAAATGTAATTACGACCATAAGAGGAAAGTTGACGAGCTTCTCTTAAACAAGCTTCTTTATAAGGGATCACCTCACCTAAATAAACACAAACAAGTTCCCCGCATTTTATATCTTGAACAGCTTTTAATCCCTTACCCATAATTGGGTAGTTGCTCACACAGATTTTACTAGAGTAATCAGACTCAAATGAATTCTGCGCATCTTGTAAATAGTTCTGGACAACTCGATTAGCACACGACTGACTACATTTACATTCACTGTTGCATTCAAAAACAGGTGTGACAAAATTAATCAGCAGACCATTCGCGTCATATGATTTCCCAGACTTCGATAGACAAGTACAAACATTGTTTAAACTGCAAATGTTGTCGCACAGACAACCAGGCAGCTGCTCAGTAATCAGACTCAGTGGGATGTCTTCATGATAAAACAACTCCATACACTCAAGAAAACCTATAGATACAAAATGCGAATACTTATATAGGATATTATATATATATATATATATATATATATATATAAGATTACTGATGAAAAGTAAATGAATATACACTGCTTAATTTGGTGACAGTACTCACATGTACTTTAAGAAACCTACATTAAGGGAGAAATAGGTAAATGAATAAAAAGTGAATCATTCAGCCTTATTTCTGAGTAATTTAAAGGCTTTATATGATCAACCGGATGCATTAACTAACTCGGAATTCCTGATAACAGGTTTAAGCATGAAGACTGGGTTTACTCAAACAGTATAGTTATTCTTAGACGGTCTTAAGATATTGACAAGATATTCATTAACAATAGTCGAGTAACTATAGAACAAATAACCAAGTCTCTAAGCGACATATTACAAAACCGAAGTAAATATGCATACCTAAGAGAACTTGGGCCGAAAGTATACACATTAGCGCGAGTAAACATTATTCTCATACTTGAAAACTAGTTTTCGAATTATGTGAGATAAATATGACGTCTATGTCAGCAGCACTACTATTATTAAACTTAATTTCGCATATTTTTATAGTATTTTATACTTGAAGAAAAATGAACATCCCCGAAAAGTATGCAAAACACGCAACTTCTCTGAACGAATGGGTTTATTCGACACTAATGAAGTCATGCAAAATCCCTGTTTACATGTGGTTGTTGTGTTTAAGGTGATCTGTCCGTAGCTACGTTTCGGTGATTAAAGTTTAACTTCTCCAGGTTAGGTAAATGGTTAACTTTGATATAAGTACAAAACTTGGACACTGATAGAGTATGACCCCATAAAATGGTTAACTTGCTTAGCTTCGAAAATGGCTACATCCAGCACGAAACTGCTCTAGATTTTTACTAGTTCGACTTCTAGTGCCTGTATAACTTATCCTGGCTAACTATAGCGGTTCATTCAGTTATTCTATTGGTACAGTGACTGAAGTTATATTTTTGTATGCTTTTTAGACTAAATTGTGCACTGAAAAATTCTCAGACAAACATAATGTCAGCCACATTATACACTTGAACTGCGTTACAGTTGCTATACTTTGTCGGAAAATGTCGACTGATACTGAGGTCTGCGCTATGTAGTGGATTAGATTAGGCACCGACTTCAAAGATGAAATGTATATTTTTCCATTTTCATGGCATTAGTATATGAGTATACTCGGAGTATTTAATAAAGCTATTTTGTCTTCACTTGTTTGCCAGTTGTTAATATTCATCGCCCGATTTTAGCATTAATTTCCATTTTCGTGATTTCATCATTGACTGCTTTTCATTCAGCACTATAAGCACAGTATGTGGCACCGTAGTGAACATGTGTTTCGAATGGCCTTTATTCTGGGGAAAGATTCAATTGCTATGAGGTCCTAGTTTCTTAAGTATCAGTTATGACTTAAGCCGACATTTCAAGGCCTGAAAGGCGATTAGTCTATTTCACACGGCAGAAATAAATCATAAAAGTCTCACGGCTTCAGATGTTTATCTGAAACTATAGTTTTTCGCTCCATTCCACAAGTACCAGGAATTACTACTAATTTGTACTTCATTTCCGGAGATTTACAGTTCCACGTGCATTTCTTTATTACACAATGAGCGTTGCTTAGTGAGTGACTTGAAACTGATATATTATATGCATTATATATACATATAAGGTACCACTTTTAGCTGACTTAGAACACCTTAAAAATTTTTCTTCATAGACTTGTCTACTGACATGGGGAGTGCAGGATGGCTTCTTTTGCCCCCAAAAGTAGACGCGTCCACCATATAATACCGCATATGAAAACATGCTAACCTTTTTAGAATTTCGTGTCCCTGAATTGCCAACAACAGGCGATCAGAAAATTGAAAGTGATATGAACACAGAAAGTAAAGGAATGACTGGTAAAATTCCCTAGTCAACTGAAGTTTTGCCAATTTTGCGATAATTATCACAAACATTGACTGCAACACCCTTGAAGAGCAACTAAGGATACACTAAATAGCACGAAGCTGCGAGGAAATTACTTCAACATCAGGAACATAAATGTACGCCAAGCATACTTGTTATACCAGACAACTATGGCATAAAACACATTCAAGCATCCTGCTACGCAAACAGTACATTTATACACAGAAACAATGTTAGGCAACGATTCTTAATGCAGTCAACCCAACAAAAGCCAAACAGACATAAAAATCACGTCAGATACATTTACCTCGATCAAAGCAAAGTCACCAACCAAACCTCTCAAATGCCCACCAGAATACAACCGGGGATATGGCATGCAATCGCCAATTCAGCCAAGAGGTACGAGATTATATGCTGGGAAACCCTACATTACCAGCCGTGCACCAAGAAGTCTATGTCTACTGACGCATCTATACGTAGATTATCAGAAGATAAAATAAGTAATGTGCTGCCATTCACTCAAGGGAATACTAATGTGCACGAAATAATGGACTTGACGCGTCACTGGTTAGACAAAGTCGTACTATACAGTGACTTGAGAAATATGTTGGCTAGAAGAAACGCACGTAAGTCTTTTGAATATCGACTTCACAGCTGAATAAGAATCCACAGTTTAGAAGTTTCTCCCTTACCCAGCAGGAGAAACATGACAAGTTCGTGTTTCCTGTGATAACATGGGTTTCAAGTCTAAAGTTATTTCTACCTGTCGTGGAATGGTTAACCTTAACCGAAGTAATCAAGATTGATTAAACCTGCAAGACCAATAAGATGGGGTATGTGCGACTATAATGAGGTGCAACTTTCATTAAGTATGATTGTGAATGACCTTTATATCGGCTTGTTGCGACTGAAGGGTCTGGGAAAGGAGTACTGTTCCATTCTCTCTCACCTGGAGAGGAAGTTTCGCAACTGTGAAGGATATCGTGCAAACAACTGAAAGGTTCACGAAGAACACTTTTAGAACAATGACGTCTACTGTCAACTGTGTGACTGCATAGTCGGATGTTCCGAAAGAAGTTTACTCGCTGTGAAATGTTCATCTGTGTGTTAGTGGAGTTTGCTAAACCCTTCAGGAAGAGGGGAATTCTATGCCGAATCCTTGACGCAACCATACAAGTTTCTAAACCAATGTCTAGGGGAATGGTTATATGCAAAGGTGCACACACCGCCAAGCAATGTGGGCCTGCGATTTAAACTGCATATCACAGGCCGCAGCCTCCCAGACAAATCGGCTGATGCTTGTATGAAAAGTTACTTGCTCAAGAGCAGAAAACACTGGGCTGTCTCACATAACTGCTTCACCATATCAATGGGGACAGAAGAAATGACTAAGTTGAGAATGCCCAGTCATATGAATGGCTATTTATGGAAAGGCGGTCCCCTTGGACCAGCCACATGGATCGACGCATTACTATTCGGAAATAACATGAAGGCCAATATCCTCTGTAGATACTCTGGTTACAGTACAAGTTTGAAGCTTATTCATAGTTGTTTTGAGATTCCTGCCTCTCGGAAGCCTATATTAAGGCATATGGCTCCCTTCATTACAACTGATTTGAGTGCCAATTCCTAACTGACTGCATTACAGCTGCCCCATTAAGATATGCAAAAGGTGTTCATACCTTCTTCGTGGACAGAATGGAGACTATATGCATGTGGTGGAGTCATTTCGCACATACTTTACTGTATGAGAATGTACTCGCAGTATTTCTGCACTTTTACCTACACTGTAGTATGTCCTGTATTCCTAATTACTACCAGGATATATTCTACGAAATGCGGAAAGTTGGTTGCATCAAAATAACACTACCGACGGTATGCTGAGTGTCACCCGGTCAGCACCAAAGTCACGCATCATGTTCTTCAGTGTGTTAACGCCTTCAAAGTGGCTATACTAATGGAGCTCCTATTCTAGTGCTCGAGAAATGGATGATACTATCAGAAGGATCGTCCAACTGTTATAAACTGTACCAGAGAACGCAATAAGAATCCGACCAGTTCCTGGTAATCCTGCCTTCTTGTATAACCTTTCGGATTCTCATCTAATTTCCGTATACATTAATAGTAAATGCAGTTATTCCTTGCTTCAATTATTCTTCACTCCTAAGTAGACCTAGTTTAATCGTTTACTAAAGAAAGTGGGTCAGAAGGCAGTGTGAGCCCTATTTTTTCACATTTGTCAGCCGCTTACCGGTTCATAGCATATAGCGAATGAACCGGACTAAAAGAATCTATCAATACCTTCGTAAGACCGCTTTCAAAATTGGCTGAGCATAATTTAAATTGCTTCGTATGATATCAATACAAGCATGCACCGTTCCAAATCCAATAGTGCGGTATCTTATTCAAGAGCGTCTACATCATGTGCTATCTTTCGGCAGTAAACGAATCAATAGTTTCCTTTTAAGCAGTCTAACCTGTGTAACTACACAGTTCCCAATTCTCTTGCTCTTTATTTCTTCCTCTTTTCCCACTTAGTGCACATGGTGTATCCCTTGACTTTTTATGCAGTGGCCAGTGTTGATGACCTAACAAGATTTACGTATACTTGCGAATCAGCAGAGACCTATACAGGCATTCACATCCCACCAGCATGGACGTTCCGGAAATTAATGGTCTCGTTCATTAATATATTAGGGAAAATACTGTGACTATTTAAGTAGGATCTCAGCCCTTAAATTATGTTACGCCTTTGTATGTCGGCATAATACTGAAACAGCACGCTTAATTTCATCATTCGGATTTCGTGTTTCTCAAGACTTTTCAATATCATTTCCAGACTCCTACGACTTTGTGCTATTTCCCACTTAAATTTACATCAGACGCATTGAAACTACATCAGGTCAGTAATAGGACTCTATATTGTTTGATAAAATGCCTGACTATGATATCCAGTTGGTTAATTCACATGGGAAAAGTGGGCAAAACGTGGGATAAAAGGCTAATTTTGATCGGCAAACACGTGGGCAAAAGATGGTGTAAATGCAACCAATTTTACCCACTTTGGCCACATTGCCCACTTTTTCCCAGTTTTCCCACTTGACCCACTTATCCCATGTGCTGGGATATATCCCACCTGGCATTTTTCTCGGGAGCATTGCAGACTTTTTGGGGCAGAATTCGGGACACTGTCCCACGTGAGTAGACCTAACCGAGGGTTTATTCATTTATTTCTATTTTATTTTTGTTTACAGCTTGATTCCACACCGTATTTTTGCCACAAGTATGGAATTTTCAGCATGGATATCGGTAGCCCAAATTTCGCAGCCCGACCATAGATATCAGGTGTGCGTCGGCGTGGGCTCGAACCCCGGACCATGTGTATGGTCGGCGAGAGTCCTAACCACTGTGCGCCCGAAAAAAATGCTAGCTGGACAAATGATCTCGAACTCGCCAATCAAGTGAAGGAGGCATTTTTGTGCATGGAATACATATATTTATGAAATAATGCATAAGAACTGTAGAAAAGTGTTACAGAGTATACCTTGCCCTAAAAGTGAGAGCTATTTTTATCAAATGTACATTTAGAGTATCAACAGAGTGTAATTTCATTTTGGGTAAAAATTACTTTGATAAAGTCTCAGGGTTATACAGTAATATTTACTGAGCAATAATTATTGCGCTTGAAACGTGGTCAGCAGTAAATGTTACTGTATAAAACCCTGAGACTTTATCAAAACAAGTTTTACTCACAATGGAATTATACAGTACCACAGGGCACAAGTTCTATTTTTATATCAACAGAGAAATTTAACCACATTTTATGCATGTAATTATTGAGGTCTTCTATAAAACCCTAACAATAACCCTAATCCTTTCTGTACCTAACTCTAACGTGAAAATATCCTTATACTAACCGTAATCTAACTCGAACCAACTCTAATGTCGCCTTCAATAAGCATATTTTGTTGACGTCGACAAAATTATTTGCCATGAAGGGGGTCACTAACCTGCCCAGTGAGTTTTTCAAGGTCATCCAACATCCAATATCCTGATTACGAGCTAGTATAAACCAGTGATTTCTTTGAGCTCGCTTCTTGATTGTGAGGTAGAGGTTCCAGATCTTCGGTGAGCTTCTGCGTAGTAAGTCCCGACACTCGACTGCTTTAGCTCTGGTAGACTCCAGGAGGAGTGGTGCGGGGATTGGTCGAGATGTGGTTTGTAGTATGCAGTATGTTAGGACTGTATTGCTACCGTGAATGGAGTTTGACCTAACTCCCGTTGGTCATTCGGTGTAGTCATAAAAAGCAGAATAGTAGTAATAATAATAAGAATAAAAATAATGGGTTGTAGTGTAGATAATATAGGTTGAGATAAGTGGAATAATAAAGGTGACCTAAGGAAAAGATAGAGTGAGAGAAGGCAGAATAGGTTGTGGGGTATTAGTTTGTACGCTTATCCATTGACAGTGTGGTTTCAATTTTTATGAGGATAAGCCATTGAGACACAAACCTTGCATTTCTGCATGATTGTCTAGCTTCCGCTTAAAAATCTCCAGAGAAGGCGCTGTAGTCACGGCCGCCGGTAAAGCGTTCCAGAGACGGAAAACACGAAGCGAAAAGAAATGTGATCACACTCGAGTCTTCGGTCTCTGGTGTGCTATCCTTAGCGGGTTACCTCGTGGAAGCCTATAGTCACTTAATGGCAGGATGCTTTTATTTGGGTGGGCCTGGTCATTTAGGATCTGGTAGACGTAAAAAATAGAAATCAAAAACATCAACGGCCCTAGGATAGAACCCTGAGGAACCCTTGATGCCGAGGTGTACCAGGATGATCGGATGCGGTTGACTTTGGTGCAGAATTCACTCTCGCCTAAGTAATCTGTCAGCCATGCGAGAAGTGCTCCAGAAACACCCGCCTTGCTTATTTTGTGAAGGAGCAGACCATGGTGAACTGTGTCGAATGCTTTCGCAAAGTCGAGAAAGATCACGTGGGCTGGTACCTTTTTGTCCCAGGTTAGTGTCCAATCGTTCCAGGCTAGTAGAAGATTCGTCACGCAGGATCTTCCCCTCCTGAAACCGTGCTGTGCTTCGTGAAGAAGGTTAGTCCCATCGAAGTATTTTCTCATGTGGTCGTCAATGAGACTTTCCAATATCTTCGATATCACTGGAAGTAGAGCAACTGGTCTGTAACTGGTCGCATTCTGCCAGTCACCACCCTTGAAGATAGGGGATAGGATTGCACGTTTCCATTCACATGGAAGTTTCCCTACATCAAGGGAGTGTTGGAACAGATCACTTAGGGGTTGACAGAGACTTTCTGAACACTGCTTCAGGACAGATGGTCTGATGCCATCACAACCTGAAGACTTTCCCGAAGCCAACCTTCCCAATTTTGCAAGTACCATAGCCGGGGTAATTTGAAATGTACCCAGAAGGTTTTCGCGTGTTGGTTTTGCAATGTAATCTCGATGTTCTGTGGGGGTAATATCCTCGTTACTATTTAGTTGCCTGTGAAAGGCTAGGCTGAACGTCTCTGCCATCTCAAGACTAGTAAGAGATTTCCCATCAGAACCCACTAGATTGCATGCTCCCTGGTTGGTCGGTTTTCTTTCGGCCATAAACCTGTAGAGGCTTTTGGGGTTCACGAGAAGCTTATTGGCGAGGTCTCCCTGAAATGTCCTTCTATCGCTCCGGACTCGTATGTTACATCGATTCCTGAGTTCAAGGTACACTTCATGTTCGGGTTGACTCTTCGATCGTCGCCACGCAAACCAGGCTTTTCGCTTCGCCTGCAGAAGGCGTTGTGTCCCCCATTTTAGCCATGATCGTTGCTTCCTAGCTTTTGGTGAGACTAAAGGAACAGTGTCTGAGACCGCCTGGTGAATGATCTCCTTTACCACTCTCCAGTGTTCTTCTATTGTTAGCACGGTCCATTTTTAGGCCAATTTGCTTCAGACAGAAGTCTTCGCATTTTGGTGTAATTGGCTTTGTTATAACACAGATAGGGCTGTGTATTGTCCCACTGTAAGCGCTCGCGGAGGACTATGTCGAATACTATGACCGCGTGGTCACTACTACCCATGGGAGTCGTGATCTGAACATTTTCCACTAGTAGCTGGTCACTAGTGCGTCGATGGCACAGTGGTTAGGACTCTCGCCGACCATGCACATCGCCCGAGGTTCGAGCCCACACCGACACACACCTGATATCCATGGTTGATCTGCAAAAATTGGGCTACCGATATCCACGCTGAAAATTTCATACTAGTACCGAAATACAGTGTGGAATAAAGCTGTAATCAAAAATAAAAGAGAAAAGTAAATAATCCAGTCTAGAAGACTTTCCATCTGGGCCCCATCTAGTATCCATCCTGACATTTTCAGTGAATCCAGCCTTCCTGATGGTATGCAGCAGATTTCGATCAAATCTATCTTGGCGTTTACCGACACCAAGCTAAGAGATGGGGCATTGAAGTCGCCAGCTATGAAAATTTGATCATAACCCATGTCTTGAGTGCCTGGTTGTGGTCTGCTCCACATGAAGGTGATCGATAAATGCTGCCCACTAGATATTCGCAGTACCCAACGGTGAAGTGGCACCATATGGAGTCAGGGAGCTCAGTGAGGGGAGGGTCCATCGCGTGAACACATCTGAGCTGTTTGTCGACATATATGGCGACTCCACCTCCTTCTTTCAGGTCCCTATCTCGCCTGACTATGACCATATCATTTATTTGACCTTGACCTTGGCGGCCTGTTCGAATTTTTGTGCCTGCTACCAAAATATCTACATTTTGCATCCAGTTTACTGTTTACCAGCATACATTTATCACTTAAATATGAATTCTAACAGAATCATTTACTCTCGTAACTTTATTAATGATTTACGACCAAATGACTTTCATATTCCAAAGAAACCAAGAAGGAAACATCGTAGTGGTTGGCAGAGAGCTCTCAAACGTACACCAATACACTTAACTACGGTCCCCGTCATAATGAACTCAAACTGTCGCTCTCTGCCAAATAAGATAATGTACCTACAATCCCTGATGTCAACTGATACGTATCATAACACCGCCATAATCGCATTACAAGAAACGTGGTTGCATGAACTGTATGATGACAACCTTATCTCACTAAAGGACTTTATTTTATTTCGTCAAGACCGTCAATGTTGTAATAAGAAAAATGGTGGTGGCGTTGCAACTTTTATTCACTCCAAATGGTCTGTCTCAAATAACGTCTGCTTCACCTTCTCAAATGACTTCATTGACTGTATTACTGTCAAATGTCGCCCCAAACATCTCCCCAAATATGAACAATTCTATATTACAAACATGTACATTTCTCCTAGTTGCTCTCCATCTGATCTATCTAATTTTGCTGATGAATTCACCATGTTTGCTGCTGCCAACTTCGACAACTCTCTATCCGTTATTACTGGAGACTTCAACACATCGGATTGCTCCTTTCTTGAAGCTCTTGGTCACACAAACATAGTCAAATTTCCCACTCGACTTGACAAAACACTCGACCTCGTTTTTACTAATGACGAAGGAGTATATGAAACACGTAGACGTTCACCGATACATAACTCCGATCACTGCATTGTCCGCGTTTTGCCAAAAATATACAGCAAAACACATATTAAAATCTTCTCACACCTGTCTACGAAAGCACAACAAAGAAGCTACACATCTGACAACTTACTCAATCTAAGATGCATGTTAAAAGATACCAACTGGGATCTATTCTATGAAAGTACATTAGATGACTCAATCACCAATATAATGGATTATCTTAAGTTCTGCCTCGACATATGCTGTCCCAAACAAACACTGTTCAAACGCCTCGACCGCTTCTCGTCTCCCCGTCTCAAACAACTTCGCAGGCAAAAAGAAATGTTATATAAATGCAAAGACAAGTTAGGTCTTAAAAA